CATATCTATACCCATATCAATATCTATTATATTATCCAAGGAATAACTGGCATGAAAGACAAGAAGAGAACACCTTAAAAACAAAGGCAAGTGGGTGAGGAGATAGAATTTGTTCTGTTCTATTTAATCTCTACTTTACTTTTCTTACCTCATATCGGCCTTGAAACCAGGATATCAAAGCTCTCTTTGTATGCAGAATTAGCATGGAGGTTGTAGGATGTTCTGAATTTTTTAATTTTTTCTGTGTGCTTTTGAAAGTTCTTCTGTCAAATTTAGAACTTTGTGATACAATGAAAAGACAGCTGTGAAGGTAGCTGGCCAATCCCTTCATAGGTAGATCATTTTCACATGGTTTAGCTTTGAATCCAAGGGAAATTGTACTTTTCTTCTCTTATTAATTAGTACCTTTAATAGGGGCTTTCATTAATCAACGGGTCTTGAGAAAAGCTGGTCTTTTTCCATCGAGCGGAATAAATCCTGCTGTGTGGGGTAATGGTAATGGCGCTAAGGCTTATGTTTTTGGAATGTGTTACAGGGAATTTAGAGGTATGAAAGGAAAAAATCATTCTTTAGCAGCCACAGACTTAATTTCTTAATCGAGTTTAAAAAATAATAAATAACCAAATATGCTAATTTCCACTAAGCTCTCTGATGTCCACCTTTCAGATTTAATCACCACAGGAGATAGTGTCACAGAGAGAGTCTGTTAGAATTACTCCAACATCATTTTGTTCAACTAGCACCTCACCAAGTGGGACTTTATACCCTCAAAATAAGGACCTGCCCGATATGTACAAATGTCATTTATAAAGGAGCTCCTTAAAAGATTTCAGAAGCAGCAGTGCCAGTCTTATTAAAAAAGAATTAACTATCTTAAGCCTGGGTTTAAATAAATAACAATCTTGAACAAAATGAACTATTAAAGCTATTTTCTATACATTTTCCAAGAACCAGATGTTTGGAACTATGTTACACAACATCCAGATGAAAATTTAAGTGTTTGTCATGATATTTGTCTTGGTGTTAGCACAGCTTATGTTGAGGAGTGTATTTTTGGAACTGCTTCAGTCATCTCCCTATAAAGTAGGTTGTCTAGAAGATTTTTTTAAGTGGGGGGGGGAACTCCTTTCAAAAGAAGCTGTGCCATACTCAATTAAAGGATATATTCATTATTAAACATTTTATTCAGATTATTTCATTATCTAGACTTCAAAGGGATCCTAAGATCACTAGCTGTTAAAACGTTCTATTTGGAAGTCCAGAGATGAAAAATGATCCAAGTTTTTGACCCGAGAACTATTGCTTCCTCCTACCCTCATCAGTGATCTGATCATCTTTGCTTTATCAACCTCTCTCTCACACATTAATTTCTCCATCCTAAACGGGAGAACCCCTCACCTTTGCTACTGTGTAATACATTATTCAGACCTCTGGGGGAGGAGAGTTCCAGGCAGAAGAAGCAGTAAGAAATGCCAAGTTCCTGGGACAAGAGCAAGTGTGATTTGTTGGAAGCACAGCTGGAGGGCCAGAGTCTAGAGCAGAGTAAGTGGGAAAGAGGGGGAACTGACAAGGTCAGAGAAGCATCAAGGGGCCAGATTACATAGGACGATTGGTCACTATAGGGATTAAGAGTTTTTCTTATTAGTGAAATAGGAAGGCTTAGAGTTGTCGATGATCTGATTTAAACTCTAAAGTTCATTCTGTTTATTGTGGGGAGAACGGGGTCAAGGGCAGAAGACAGAGACCCTCAGACAATTACAATAATCCATTATAACAACAATTTAATTACTGTATTTTCACTTCCTGTTCTTTATGATGGCTAGTCATGAATATAATTTATCATCCTTGCTAAATTATAAATTCTGTGTGCGCAAGGATTCCAAAAGATTATATCTTTACACATTAGTGTTCTTCAACTAAAAAAAAAAGTTTGATGCCCAAAGAGTACAAGATGAAATTCTCACCACTTCTGTCCTTTTTCCACCCTCCCGCTCCCCTCTATCATACCCTAAGTACTCTCCTTCCTTCCGGAATTTCTTCTTAATACAGCATACACATATCTAGCAGTATCTCTTTGTGTACATGAAAAAAACAAAAACAAAAACAAAAACAAACTAGGGGGGAAAGGGAGAACAAAGAGGAGGTAGATAGATAGGAGACATAGTCCTTATTCTCAAGGAATCGTTATGTGTATATGCCTATTTCATATATTTTACATAATCATCTTAGAGTTGAGCTTAAAACTATATATAGTATGTATAAGTATCTTATGTTTTTATAAAAATAGAAAGTCATTCCTAGGCCTTGCTATTCCCAATTTGTAAAGTTCCATATATGGTAATTTGAGTTATTTAGGTTCTACTTCAGTAGTGTAATCTGAGAATTGCTCTACAGAAGTCCAAGGAAATAATACCCCAATTTTCTTTTTTTTCCCTGAGTCTCATTCAAGGGTCTTTCTAATGTATGTCTTGAAAAGCTTTGGGTTGGGACCAATAATAATTATGGAAGATAGTTATCCAAGCCGAGGAGGCACAAAGAGCCCCCCCCTTTTTTTTTTTCATTTTTCTTAGTGAAGAAGTTAGAATCTCTTCTTCTGTGAAGGTCCCTGACATGCCAGAACAGAGGAATAGTGCTTAGGCTAAGATTACGAGTTAGAACCCAGATCAGGTCTATGAAAGCTCTAGTATCTAAATACTAGTTACTCTCTGTGGTCTTCCTGATACCCCCCCAAATAAAGGTAAAGCTGCTGCTGTCTCTAGGGAAAGGGAAACGCCAGGCAGAGTGTTCTAAATCAGACTTTCATGGTAAAATATCCATTAATGATTAATTTTCTGCTTCCTTTAGAATAGGACAGGTTAAGCAGTTGGTCACATTCAGTAAATAAGAAATTACTTGCAGTAATGTCTGCAACATTCTAATCATCTTCCCATTTCTGAAAACTATTTTAAAAGCCTTTGATCTGCATTATGGTGAAAAGGACATTGAATGTGGAAATAGAAGCCTTGATTATGAATTCAACTTTGCCACCCACTAACAGTGTGGCTTGGGCAAGTCATTTAACCACAAAATTCCATTTATATTCTAGTGATGAATTGGGCATAGCAATCTATACCTCACAGGGTTGTTATGAGCACCAGATAGGATAAAGTGTGAAGGCCACAAATGCAGAGGTCACACAATAAACATTTGATGAACTCAGATATTAAATACAGACAGCAGAATTATCATAATCCTAGTAGTGGTATTTCAGTGTTCTATGCTATACCAGTACACATGTGATCTTGTGAAGTGGGAACTATGTCCCCTGTATCTTCTTTCTGCATGTTATTAAGAATGACAATATACTATAATTGTTTAATTATGTCATTAAAGTGGGTTTTATTTTCTTCATTAAATACATCAGGAAAAAGCTTTTCAATTAACAATGACCTTTATGACTTCTACTAGTTTGTATTCTGTAGATGCTGAAGCTGACTGCAAATTAGATTCTGCAATGTACCTTGTTCCTTATTTTTTCACCCACTGATTAGTTTGATACAGTTGGCAGCAGCCTACCCTGTTGCTTTCAGCTTGCAATTTTGTAGCAATCTCAGAACACTGTGTTCAATCCCCCAAGGTGTTCTGTAGAAATGCTGTCAAACAATTTCGATGTATGTGTATTTTCATTCTGTAGCTGTGCTTTGTACTCATTTAAGAGAACAACTCTTTAATTTGTATCAGAACGTTTTCAGGTTGAAACTTAGAATGCCAGTCCTTAGCAAAATCACTGATATATGACCACAGCCTTCTGTTCTAAATCTTGACATGACTGACTCCTATTAGATACAAAGCTATATTTTTAAATTTTGTTATAGAATACAACTCTGAATAAATGGCTTCAAATTTAGCCTTAAAATCTAATAGTAGTCATCATGCTTGCTATTATCATCTAGCTCTAGTTTACCTTTCCAATTTTGTCTCTCATCCCTCCTACCTTATATCCAATGCTTTCCTGTACTTCCTTAAAATGCCTGGCTGTCTCTCTCACCTTTCCCGGGAGTTATCCGCATATTAGCACCTCTGTCTAGAACACCACATCTTCCACTCGTCATCTCTTTATCTCAGGCATTTTTCTATTCTAGAAAGCTTTTTCTGTACTCACAACAACCTTTCTAAGTCAAGTAACCCTCATTTGTCTCTCATGTTGTACCTTGTGCCTGATTTCATAAAAATATTCTTCTTTCTGTATAGTATTAATTGGTTGGCTTAATTAGATTGTCCTCCTTAGTAGACTAAAAGTTTTGGAGAGCAAAGGCAATACCCTTTGAATCTATGAATAGTAGATGCTCCATATGTGTTTTTGTTGGATAAATGAATGCTTTCTGGAAAAACTATTGGTCAGTTTATTGAAAAGACAGCAAGAATTTGCTACTAAAAGTATTATATTAGCCTCACTACATTTAATTACAACAACAATATTATCAGTGAAATGCAGTTCATAGTTTCAGTGTACAGGTCTACCACTCTGCAAATGCAGGTAATTTTAAGAATAAACATGTATATGGTGCCATTCTGTGCTTTATGTATCTGGCACATTATATTCAGAATTGGATTGGGTTAAACCAGGCTAGCTCATGAAACTATTCTACTTCTTATAATTTCAAAGAAAGAAATGTGTTTTAATGTTGAAATTGTTATTTGAACTAATTTAACCTTATTTAAATTTATTTGTCAGCCTGAGAGAATAAAAAAGGATTTTGACTGGCTTTGAATTAAAATACACACACACACACACACACACTTAAAAAACAAAACTAAACAAAACTGTAGGAATGTATTGTTTCATATTTGCTTTGGGAATGAAAAATGTACCAGTGTGTTCATGTCTCCTATGTTTATAGCTGATGTTTGCATTTGATGCAGTGCCATAATTCAGCATGTGGAAATACACTCAGAACAAAGATAATATTGTCTCTCATTTTCATTTTGATTAATAATGTTCTGTCTCTGGTAATTTGTAGGTGTTATTTGGAAGATGGAGCTTCAAAGGGTGCCTGGCTGAACCGGTCAAGTATTATTTTTGCGGGAGGTGATAAGTGGTCAGTGGATCCTCGAGTTTCAATTTCAACATTGAATAAAAGGGACTACAGCCTCCAGATACAGAATGTAGATGTGACAGACGATGGCCCATACACATGTTCTGTTCAGACTCAACATACACCGAGAACAATGCAGGTGCATCTAACTGTGCAAGGTATGCATTTCCATGTCTGCTACGCTTAGAAATGTTCAATATTTAGATATCAAAATGACTGAGAGGTAGCTGACAATGTTGAAAGATATGTTGTCATTGTCTTCAGGGATTTATGTTCCTAGATTCCATTAAGTATAATGGCTTTTATAGGCATACAAATCCCCACTTACTGAGATCAAAAATTATCCATTAACATCACATTATGATTATTTTGTATATGATTCATTTTGTATCTTCCTATGAGTCACCCCTTCAATAAATCTTTGAGAACCCATGATTGGGGCATTAAAATAAATTTTTGATAGCCTATGATGGCTACATTAAAATATTAGAACTTCTTGAAATATGAATAATAACTCTTTAAAAGTAATCCTCAAGCTTTCCAACACTCTGTCTCAATTCAGCTTCTATTTACTTTGATTCAAGTCACAATGAAAAGAAGCAGCCTTCTAGAATTACTTTATTTAAATATAGAATAATTGAAAAAGTATGGTTCACAATGCTTTATACTTTGATTTACTTTCAGTAGATCATAAATCATGCTAGCTAACTTACAATCTCCAAATATAAATAGAATCATCCAATTATTTTACTTTTCTTGCATACTAAAATATAAGAGCATATTTATCCTCAACACAAATATGTTTCAAGGAAAATATAATTATAATGCTAGTAGAATAGAAAATGTGTATTTTTGCCCTTTTGCATTATGTCCTCATGCTTTATAGATAAACCATGTGTTGGTTGCATAGAAATAGTATACTGTGGAACTCAAAATGACATTGCAGCATTTCTAAGTAAAATTAATAACAAATTATATGATAATGTAGTGCCAGCAAATGCATGTTTTATTCCTATCAGGAAAGCTGAATTTGCAAGTTAGTTGTATTATTTCTGAGTTTACCCTTCAAAAATCAACAGTAAATATTAATTTAGGTACATGGTTTACATTCAGAAAAGATTGTTATTCTACAACTTTATTAATTGAGCTTTATTTCCTCACATAAAGGTAAAACTGAACTCAAACAAAGCTTCAATTATTAGTAAATATTTTAACTTTGTGATAGTGATTAAACTTATTAAACAATTAACTTTAAGAAGGAAAGTATAAATTGAAGAGTAAGGCAGTGAATTTCCTCAGTGGTTTTCCTTATTACAAATCATTGAAGACTTTGGTGATTTTCCTTATTTAAAAGCATATAAGAAAATAATAAAGTTTTCATCAAAGTCCATCTTCATTTAAAGATTATCCAGAGATTCCAGAGGGCAGTTTATCCAGCTTCAAAAAATGACATGAGATTAAAAGACACAAACACATTTCTTCAGTTATCCAAGCCTAATTCTGTTCTCTTGTTTAGTTCAGTGCCTTTTGACTTGAGTTTCTAGTTCAAACACTACAAAAAAATTTTATTACATGAGGAAAAGTATACTTTGATGGTAATATATTTGAGTCACTTGAGATAAAGACGTTTTGCTTCTTATATGTTTAAACAATATACTTCTGAACACTAAAAATATCCCTCTTTCCTTTTTTCCATTCTCTCTTATTCCCTGTTAGGCCCATATTTTTTAACCAGACCCCAAATACATATACATATATGCATATATATATATATATATATATATATATATATATATATATATATACCCTGTACCAGAAACCAGAACATTTTATTAGAATTTGTTTCATATATATATATATATATATATATATATATATATATATATATATATATATATGCCCTGCTAATGAAAATGTTAATTTCCATAGAATTTCTTCATAACTTTATATTACATAGGTTGTTTAATACTGTACACAGTTTTAAAACTGTTACATGCCTTACTTTGGCACTCATTTTTGCTGGCCAGTATAAACTTTTGGGAACCATTTTAGGAAGAACATTTTACAAATGCACTTATTGAATTTTTTATCAATATAATATTTTGTTCCTCTAGAAAAATATTATTTGTGTTACTGTTTTGATGTGTGTGGTTAGGTCAAATTAAAAGCTAATAATTTTACAGTACTTATGAACATAATTACTTATTAGAAGTTGATTGACATGTGGGCATTTTTCCATTTACATTAATAAAGTTCAGGGAACAAATTAATAGGCTTGTCAGTCAATTCAAGAACTAAATAAATATCTTAAAAAGTAAAACCCTACTTAAGCTACATTTCCTCTCAATGAAAAAAAAAACTGATGTGCACATTTCTTCAGTCTCTAAATTTGTTAGGTTGTCTGATACTCAGGAGTATTTGGATAGTTTTGAAGTATATGTTTGTTGCCTAATAATTTGTCAAGCCTTGATTCAACAAGATAAAGAAATTTAGCAAGTGAGAGAAAGCTATTTATTAATCAATGACATTATCAATCAATAATGTCAAACACACATTGGCTGGTAAAAACAAAGCTCATCTTTAATTGTTGAAACTATGTACTCAAGGGAGCTATTTTTAAAAAGTCATTTTAGAAAGGGGATAATCAAAAGGATATCTTGCCCACACAGACTTTGCGCATGGGAAATTTGTTTATGTTATTGATTTCTCAGAGCTATTAATATCAATAAATGGAATAATGGGGGAGAAAAGACACTGGAGTAGGAGTTGGAAAACCTGGATTCCAATCCTGAATTTTCCCTCACAAAATGGGTAATTCTCAAGCCTCTCTAAACTTTAGTTTTCTCATTTGAAGGAAGAGGATTCAGATCAGAAAATCTTAAGGTCTGTTCTAGTCAAAAGCAAAAAGATAAATGACAGGGGAAAAAAAATCCACTGTGACTGTTTGCTTTTGATTTGAAAGGGAAAAAGTTTTTTTAAGTTAAAAAATGAAAAAAAAATTTCATAACACTTGTATTGAGAACCATGCAAACTAATTTTTACACAGTAGTGCCTTCTAGTATTTATTCTGCAAGTGCACTTTATTTATCTCCATGTTTTTCTTTCACCAAATGAGCTGAACAATGTATGTACTCACAAATTTGAAGAATGTGGTGAATTGGAGTTTTGCTTCAAGGGGGTGGAAACTGACTGATAGATTTAGTAAGAAAATAAATTTTTCATCACCTGTACATAATGCTGTTAAATCAAGTTACCTAATTGTCCAGTGTTTCAAATCATGTGGTGTAGCATTTACTAAGAGTATCTTTCTTGTTCATGAGTATAAAAATGTATGCAGCTTGAATACTTGTTATGAAGGGAGATCCCTATTACAATACTGTTTTGAAATGAAACATAAAATGTAAATGCTTTCCATTCAAAAATATAACACAATGGTTTCTACTTTAAGTCCGTGTCTAGAGTCTAAGTTGTATACAGCACAAAATAGACACCCCAAAATATTGTATAATAACTGAATATACATACAACAGCCTCAGCCAACACCTCGACTGCAGCCTTGTGAGACTATGAGTAGTTAAGATGTGCCAGGACAGAAACTGAAATAATAAGTGTATATTGTTTTAAGATACACACATGTGCACGCACACACACACACACACACACACACATACACAAACACATTCACACACACACAATATATGGAACGTTTATCATTCAACTCGTGCCCTTCCAGGGAGACATACCCTAGGTTTTCTCTAGGCAGGATAGAAGGAGGGATGACTAGCACATAAGCCTATGAGCAAAATAATTTCTCAAGGTTGTTTAACTTGCTGAGTGTGTTCTAATTTCCTCAGGGTATTTTACTTACCTAAAATATTTGTGATAGACGGGATGCTATGCTTCCCTTTTCAAGGATGGGCTTGTGTTCCTAGCTGCTGTGAGTGCCATCAGCAGACAGCATATGGTGGTCAGCCCTTTCAAAGTTAGCCTCAGCTGTAGAGAGGCAAAGCCTAGTTCTGCCTAGAGCAACAACGTCTGATGACTGATTAAAACCGGGAGTAATAAAATCCTCTCCCTTCCAGCCCAAGGAGGATAACTCTGACGGGTTATTTTGGCTTGAGAGCAGCTGAAGCTATTGAACAGCATCCACTACAGCTCAACTTCTTGCTCTGTTCAATCCTACCTTCTTCTTTTTCCTTCTGCAGCTATTTATCACAAGACTATTCCCTAATGAATATCCTAATTTTACATTCCATCTCCTTTCAACTCAAAGATCCCTAACTATGACCATGTTAGATCCTTGCCTCTGGCTTAGTCATCGTTTAGAGAAAATCTTCGTAAAATGGAAGGACAACACATTCAAATACCATTCATTATTAACATTGTTTTACATTGGTTGGGAATTTAAAGTGGCTTATACCAAAGTATTTAGTACACCAAGGCAATTAGGAGAAATCAGAAGCAAAAGATAAGGTAAGAAGAATAGGATGCAGTCAGATGTAATGGATTATTACATTTTTAAATGTAATGTATAATGTATTAAATGTATAAAATTTTTGCCATGATTTTTATATATTTTTAGAGCTTGGTAAAAGTTTTAGTTCTAAGATTTCTAGCACCCAACACAGAAAGAGAAACAAGAGCAGTTATTCATTCCATGGCCCTGAAGGTTAAAACTTCTATTTCTTAGTGCTCTGGTCCTGTTACTCAGGGAAATAATTTGACCGTGAGTCATCTCAGAATATCATTGTGAACTGTAAGAAATATTTCAACAGTAACTGTATGGCATGCACAGAACTCATTCATAGGATTGTTCTTTATAACACCTCTCAACGTAACCCGAAGTGCAGGGAAGTATAAAATTTTTCTTTTAATCTAAAAATAAATTGAACAAGATTCTAATTCAATAACAGTGAGATTGCTTTTTGATTATTGCTTAATCTATGAGTAAATTTTAGAGCCTATCCTTCCTGAGTCAAACCTTCACAAATATTATTTCTCTCAGTGGGTCTTTGAATAGGAATTCAGGTACAGATAGTTCAAAATTATACTTACCAATGAGTATCTGGAGAGCAATTATTCTATGTGGCCACAAGTTTAGAGCCATATTCTTCAAAGACCAGCATATCTTAATCAAATGCTAACATCCTTTTTATGA